AATAAACTTTATTTTGATATAAAAATAAAAATTATTTCTTAATAAAATTATAAATTTTAATATAGAGAGAAAATTTTGATTTTTATTATATTTTATTAATAAATTTAGTTTCTAATATATTACTTTTAATCATTACTATAAGTTATTTTTCTTTAAATAAATAATAATTAAAAATAAAAATGATTTGAATAATAAATAATAAATAATTAATAATTAATAATTAATAATTAGAAAAATAAAAATTAAAAAATAAAATATATTTTCTTGAAAATTTTTCAATATAAAATATAAAAAAACTCAAATTTATTTTAATTTTTTTGTATTTTTAATAATATTTTATAATTAAATATATAAATTTATAATAAACTACCAGAATATCAAAATGTGAAACTTTATATAAAATTTTTTTGAATTTTCTAAGAGTTATTTTATAAACTTTTATATTAATCAGATATTAGATTTAATTAATAAAGTTTTAAATTTAAAGCGATTCTTTCAGAAAATATGCAAAATTTTGATATAAAAATAAAGTTTCATTCATGTTTTTATTAATATTTCAGTAATTTATTATAAAGATAAATACTTGAAAATTTTAACTTATTAAATTCGAAAAGTTTTAATATCTTGCTTTTTTCTTAAAAAAGATCAAGTTAATATTAATTAATAAAAGTTCATTTAGAATTTAGATTTAATAATTTTGATTATACATGAAAAGCAAAATTGGATAAATCATTTAAATTTTTCTATACTTATTTATCGGTCCCTGTAATTAAAATTTTTCTTTTCATTAGTTGAGGATATTTCAAAAGTATCAATACTTGATCTCTCAAAGTATCAAAATGTGAATCGAATGTATGATATTCGTTAATTTGCAAGAGGCAATTTTAATGTGGAAAATATCTAATCAGGTAAATCAAGCTTTAATGGTTTGATAAACCACAAAGAATGTCTGAGTTTGATGATTGTCTTGAAGTGACATGGTGACTGATCATATTCTTCTAAATCCTATTCGCATCGGAAGAAAGACTTTTCTGTCGCTATTTAAGAAATCCATGTTTTTTTAATTTTTAATTGGTGTGCATAAAACTATGGACCTTACATCTTTTACATTTTTATTCATCATTTGCCAGAAGTTAATAACTCGACAAGCATTTAGGATAATAAATTTTATTTAATAATGTACTGCTTACCTTGATTCCCAAAAATTATAAATAATTCATGAAGAAAAAAATCAAAATCTTGAATAAAAAAGCAAACGATATAATTCTCTTTATAGCTCCTTAATAATCGCTTCTGTAACTTGCTCTGTTGTTGCTGTTCCGCCCAAATCAAAAGTTAACACTTTTCCATCTACCAATACTTTATCAACTGCGCGATAAATTAGGAGAGCCTGTTCCGGGAATCCAATATATTCCAATAGTAATCCAGCACTACGAATTGTGGCGACCGGATTTGCTTTGTGTTGGCCTGCGATATCTGGAGCCGATCCATGTACTGATAAATAGATATGAACAGGGTTACTGTTTTACCATTGCTAGTGTCATAAATATTTCTTCTTTCTCACCTGGTTCAGCCACCACAAATTTATCACCTACATTGGCACTTGGAACCACACCCAAACTTCCAACTAGCGCTGCAGCTCCGTCGCTTTCAATGATTAAGAATTATTACTATCAAAATTATCGAAATTAAATTATAACATCTTGAAAAAATACCTAATAATGTCTCCATATAAGTTTGGTGCAACTACCACATCAAATAGATGTGGTTCTCTGAATAAACGATACCTAAATTAAAATACAGAAAAATAAACATTGAGAAAAAATGACGATAATATCACGACGAATGTTCACATACATACACCATGGAATCAACCAACTGCTCGGTCAAATCCACATTATCATATTTATTATTTTCCTTCTTGACATTTTGTATTGTTTCACGCCAAAGTCCATCCGTGATACTCATAATATTCGATTTATGTACAACAGTAACTTGAGGTTTTCCTTTCCATACTCGTTTTTCAATTGGTATATCTTGTCGAATCTTATCTCTCGCCAAGGCCATTTCAAATGCCTTTTTCCCACATCTTCGGGACGCATATTCCGAGATTTTTCGGTCAGCCCATGCGACTTTGAGGCCAGTTGAGGAATCGATTTCTTGTCGCTCTTGTTTTATATACTTTAAAAAATAAATAAAAACAAGGTTTGGTAATTGATAGTTCAATTGATTAAATTTTCTATGACAATTAATTAATAATAAATATATGCACCGTATCATTGTCATATTAATAATAAATTTCTTAAAATATTTCTTTCTCGGAACAAATTTTATAAACCAATCTCACCAAACATTCGGTATTTTCTCGAATTATCAACATATCAACGGGTTTTTCATTTGGTACTTTATTGGAAATGACCGAAACAATAGGTCGAACGTTTGCATATAAATCTAGCCTCTTTCTTAGGCCAACAATTGGTGATGAATACCCAGCAACTTTGAATGAAGGAGAGCTGCATATTAAATTGTGACGTTTATTATTAATTTATGGGGAACCGGTTAGAGTTTCTTTAATTTGCGCACTCACCCAACGGCACCAAATAAACCTCCATCACATTCGGTTCTTAGCCTCTCTACAGTTTCTTCTGGTAAAGCTGTGCCAGTTTTCTTAAAGTGTTCATACCCAGCGTCAAGGTGTATAAAATTAAACTTAGGCCCGTCACTTGGAAGAGCTTCAAGTACCTGCCTTGCTGCCTATTTTAACACACATACACAAAAAAGAACAAATAATTCGCGCATATATGAGTTCTATTTTGTCAATTTTTAATGAAGAAAGCAAATATGGAGAAAGAAAACGCGACTTTACAGGAATTACTTCTCGTCCTATTCCGTCAGCTGGAATTAATCCTATTGTTAACGTTTTACTATTATAAGCAGCTTTTGCAGCGCTGCTTGTAAAAGAACGTTTCAAAATATTAGCCATAAGGAATTTTTTTTAAGTGTGCGCACCCAACAGTGATTAACTAGCTCGTAAGACGCGAACAGATCCCATTTGCGGTGGGAAATATTATATCATGATCAACAGCATTAAAACCAGAATTTATTTTATCGCGTCAAGTTATGTGTTGAAAGGAAAATACACTTTTATTATATTCTTTCTTAGTCAACACGTCCACGTCTTTTCGAGACTTATTTCTTGTTCTTTATTTGTGTGTGCGAAACTCTCTTGATTTAGTTTTGAAATAATTTTTAAAACCATGTCTGATAAGGCCGAAAAAAAAAGAAAACTCGAGGAATTAGATGCGAAAAGAAAAGCTCAAGCGACGGTAGAAGAGGAAGGAGCGGGAGGCTTATCAAAGTATGAAGAAGATATTATTCTTTCTAAACTATTTCGTACTAAGCAAAAACGCGATCGTGCGCTGTGAGTTTTAGCATGACCGCTTTTCGTTTTTTTACGTATATTTTGAAATGCATCAAATTTTTTGAAGTTTTTGGTTTACTGTTTTATGAAACGCCTTTTTTTATATTCTTGCTTTGGTTCGGACATTGGCTTTTTCTCTTATAATCTATATCGTGCTATCAATTTGTAAAAGAAAAAAATTAATGCAAGGCCGCGATACCGGAACAAATACGAAGGTTAAATCAGCTTCAACTACCAGTGCTAGAATCTCAAAAAGAAACGTGCCATCTGCTACTTCAAAAAAGAGTAAATCTAGGAAAGACGAAAGTGATGACAATAGTGAAGACTTTGTTGTAGAAGATCATGGTAAGGTTTTTTTTTATTACTATTTATTTAGATTATTTTATGATTTACATTTTTTAAATAGGAGAAGCATCATCAGACGACCAAGCTGAATCCGAAGAGCAAGATTTTTCTGATGTTATCGAGGAATCTGAAGACTCTGATGCAGAAGCAAAGAAGAGGAAGAAAAAGAAATCTGCCATCACATCGTCAAGTTCAAAGAAAGCATCAAATAAAAAAGAAACCTCAAAAGTATACTTATTTATCAGTTCAATCAATCGTATTCTGAATTATTCAGTTAATATTGATTAATTAAATTAATTTAATTAAATATACCATAAAAAGGCAAAGAAAACTGCACCCAAATCTAAATCATCCGAGAAGAAAAAATCAAGCAAAAAAGCAACCAAAGGAAGTTCCTCAGGAGAAGACATTGATGATGATGATGATGATGAAGATACGAAGAGACCTAGTAAGAAAAAAAAAAGAAACAGTGATTCAGATGAATATTCCGACGGCGATAATGATTTACGTGAGTTAAATAAATTTAAGTAAAGTTAGAAGTCCTGAATTTTTATCTAAAATTTTTTCAAATTTGTGTTTGATTATAGAGGAAGAACTTCAAGCTCTCGATACATCTCTTATTATTAAAAGTGGACGACGAACACGAGGAAAAAAGATAGATTATAAACAGTTTGGTCCAGTAAGTTTATCTATTCTATCTTTCTTCAATACAATTTCTATTTTTTCTGATTAATCTTTTTTGGGAATTAAGGATCCAGTAGACCTAGACGATGATGAATAATAATATAATATGATATTCCAAATTATTGTAGCATAAAATATGTTACTAATTCAGAAATAAATAATATTATACTTTCACCAACATCAACATCGATATTAAATGTTTTCTTCCTGTGAAATCAATAAACATGTCATGACCGTCCGCTCGAATGATATCAGGCGTTGATGTCAACGCAAACAATTTATAAATTCGTTCATAATCAAAAGATGATTTGTATAATCACTTCTATTTTGTCACTTAGGCCAAATAGCACTTTATGCCTTGATGCTCGTTACTGACATGTGAAATCGGTGTATAATACTAGTTCTTACTATCAATAGTAATGAATACGAGAAATTCTGTTTGGTGTCAATTATAAAATTCAGTTATATGTGATCATTGAATTGAATATGTACTATATGTACTTCTATTCTTTGGTTGCAAAAATGAACTCCTCATGATCACGATTCTTTGAAAAATATATTATTATATAGATCTTTCTTCTTCAACACCAGTTCCATACTTTGCCTCAAGTCCTCCTATTATGATACTACAATATCTCGCTTTTCATAGTACAAGAGCCATCCATAATCACGATATAATTTAGTCATTATGAGTTTTGAAAATGCAGATCGATCGATGTTGAACAAAATTCTATTCGCTTGTAAAAAGTTTTATTTGAGAACGCGTTTTCGACTCGAGAACAAAAATGAGACTACAACATTTTCACTTTCTAGGAGTAAATACAATTGGCAGCTTTATTGCCCATCATTTAAGACGAGCAGAACACAAAATAACCCTCTTACTACGAGACACAGCAGAGCAAGCAATCCTCAAAAGACGAGGATATTCGATAAAGCTTGAAGATGATGAAGGTATTATTAACGTGGCATCAATGCTTAATAGTGAATCAATGGAAAACCTTGAAATGGGTGACGCGATAAACCCGAAATTTTTGCGTGGTCCACAGTCGATCGAAAGTCAGATACGAAGTTTGATTGTCACTATCACCCCGTATAAGGTTGGTCGCAATATCGAACGGCTGTTTTATCGAATGGGCCCCGAAACTACTATTGTGTTGTTGACCAACGGGATGGGCGTCTACGAGGAATTAGTGAAAGGATTTTTTGTGGATGAGATCACGAGACCTAACTTTTTGTTGGCTAGAACAACGCATGAAGTGTATCAACGGGGATCTTTTGATATTAAATTGGTAAAAAAAGGGGAGATTTATTTTGCTTCACCGGATAATAATCCATTGACAAATCAAGTATTATTGGAAGCTAAGAGAAAGAAATTAAAAATAAGGATAAAAGAGAAAACTCAAAATCGAATTGATTCTAAGCCTATATTAATAAATCAATCACATCAAGCAAGGGAACAGGAGTTCGAAGACAACAATGACGATGAGGATGATGATGATGATGACTCAGCAAGAGCATCAACATCCTCCACTGCAACATCATTATCACCGGATATAATAGAGGAAATGCTAAGAACATCTTTTGTAGATCCAAGTTACATAAAAGCACATCCTGAGATCATTGATCGAATACGTGCAAGAAGTATGGAAAGTACCATAAGAGCACTCTCTGTGATACCGGAACTTCAAATAGAATATGTCAGCTATCAGGAGCTACAAGAAATACTACTTGAGAAACAAATGGTTGATTGTGTAGTACAACCGTTGACCACAATCTATGCAATCACAAATAACGGATTAATCAACAATCCACCCGCAAATCGTGTTATTGATGCGATTTGTATGGAAAATTCAATTATTATGGATCGACATAGTGTCGAACTTGGATTACGTCCGTCAAGTCGGTGGCGGAAACGTCGTATTATGGAACAGGTGGAACAAAGGTGTCAAAAAGTTCCGTTACATTGGTCCTCAATGTTGCATAATATACGAGATCGTGGTATCACCGATGTCGAATATGTCAACGGCTATATGGTGAGATTAGGTGTGAAATATGGAATACCAACACCGGTGAACAGTTTAATGGTTGATATGGTGAAAATGAAACATCGATTATTGGCTGCACCAAATGTCTATCGTATAAAAGAAAAAGGAATTAGACAGAGAACCCCGAATGAGTTTAATGATCATAAAAAGAGAACACCAGATCAAGAGATGCTAAGAGATCCCCCTTTGGACGAATATTGATGAGAACAGACAATGTTATTTTAGATAATAGCTACCTTATCAAATGAATGAATAGAATTTACGTCATCTTCATAGAAAAATCATATTTTCAAATAGATAAAGTAATACTAGTGATTTTATTAGTTGAACGTTCACCAAAATCTAAATCTAAATCATAAACATGATATTCAAATATCTACATCCACATTATTAAATTAACACGCTCGAAATATAATGATTGTAATGATTGATGATTGATTTAAAATAATGTACCAAAATAAACTGTGTAGATAATTAGACAAATACGGGTCTAACATCATCCATCAATTCAATCCTTTTTGCTTAATCTTTTTTTTTAATCTACTCCCATGGATAAGAACCCTGTTCGATAGAACTTGTAGGATACAGGGTCAGGATTTGGGAGAGGTCAAAATTTGTTTTGAAATTATGCGAATGAACAATGATCATTTACTTTTTAAACACTTAATCATGAATGTTGTATATGTTCTTAAAATGTGCTTTTTGTTTTCATGCTCACTAATGGTAGCATGGATTTTAATATTCATACAAGAAAAACAAAGACAAAATTCTAAGCAATTTGAAACGCTTGCAATGTGCATTTTGTTTTTAAACTCATTAATGATAGCATTGATCTTAATATTCATTCAACAGCTTGAACAAGAAAAACATGAATCATCGTTACAATATTTGAAAAGACGACTCTTGGCAGTTAAGAAAAACCTTGTAGAGGCTAAGAAAGTGAGTATATATAGAGATAATAAATTTTCATTATGTGCATTATTTTAATGATGCTCATAAATTATTTTACTGTAGAGTCTTGAAGAATTGAAAGAATTGATTAAAAAAATGCAAAAATATGAAAATAATACAAAAGAATCAAGAATCAAGATACTCGCCGCAAGAATGAAAGGAAAAGTTGGTAAAACTTCTTGGTTCGTTTTCATTTCATCAATCAACATCTCTAATGGGATGTAAATTCGTTATATTAGTAAAATGCATGTCTCCCCACGACCACAGCAATCTTGCAATTATAGCGACAAAAGCAATAATAATGTAAGAACGAAAGTGAAATTAGCAATAAAGCGAAGAAAATGATAGAGATCGCTAATGTAATGTAAAATATATGGTACGGTGGGCTTAAAAATTCTATATAACTTGAAGTTTAACTTGAGACATATCATTCAAACTTCAGGTGTATAAATTCAAAATATTAATAAAAAAAATGTAATATTCTTATGAATTATTACTTTTATATTTTTAATTTTTGAAAACGCACCAGCGTTTCTGATTCATTATTTAGCTGACGAAAAAAAGGAAAACAAGAAAAATAATTAAGAAAACACACAACTTTGAATGAGCACAAATAGTTCAATCAACAGGTCAAAGAAAATCGATGCTAAAAAATCAATTCCCTCATTTTCACTCATTCTAATAACGACGCGTGAGTTATTAAAAAGTGAGCGTCGTTAGGCGTTTTGTTTTTTTTATGTTTGTATAAAAATTAAATTAGGAACTAAGAGAAAAATTAAATAATAATAATGATAAAGAACTATCAAACACGCTGGATTATGTGCGAGAAAAAAAGATATATATATATTTTTACGTACATACACAGAGGATATGTCTATGTCAATTAAGAATATTAAAAACCAACTGGCTGATTGACTGACACGAAACCACTAAATAAAAATAAGCTTTTCGGTGTAATATCGCAACGTATTGAATATGAATTTATATTTGCATTCGTCTTTTGGTCTCCTTATCTCAATCAGTCAACCAGTTGACAAATATTCAATTATAAAAACATTATCAAAAACTGCCGACGATGACTCTAACTGATTATAAGAAAGTATAAACTATAAATATGCAAGTTATAAAAAGTGCAATACAAGAAGCTAAGAATATATATATACATTTATATTTAGATATGCTTACCAATTTCTCAATACTACTCGGTTTTTTCGTTCTTTCAGCGCATTTCACACGAATCACTGCGGCAATATTCTTTTCAAAGCATTCACATAAACTACGCAGCAATCTCCAACCACGGCAGCAAACAGCAGAGATAGTAACAATGATATCAAACTCATCATTTCGGCATTCTCGGCTATTTTTCTTCCATACGATGATATTCGATCATCAAACATCATCATTATTGGTGCGACCACCAATGGTTGAATCGTGGATCGACGTCATCATCGTAGTTCTTTGATAACATTCACTATTATAGCAACCAAAGGGTAGCTTTCCACACACACGTATACATTTCACACTTTTTTAGAAGGGAAATAAAAAATGCGTTACTCTAAGATCAGGATAATAAGATGATGCAAAAAGGGTGTATATGATAGATAAATTCCGTTGGAGTTTTGATAAGTTTTCGATAAATGTGTTATGTGTATGTATCTATCTATGTATGTATATATGTATATATGTATGTGTGTGTGTGTGTGTATATATATATATGTGTGTGTGTGTGTGTGTGTGTGTATACGTAAATGATGTATATGCGTGTTATTAAGTATATAATTTAGTATGTGCAAAGTATTAAGAAGAAAAAAAACAATAATAGACAAATTAAAGGAAAAAAAAAGGTAATCTAAAAGAGAAAAGTACAAAAAAAAGGGTATATTTACATGATGAGGTGGTGGAAAAATCACAAAAAATGGAGAGACGACTTCAAATAAATCGCCCCAGGAATTTATAATATACTCCCTTATAAAGACGAGGAGCATGTATTAAAAAAAAATACTATTAAATGAGAAAAAGATGAAAAATCCCGGGAAGTCTAAACTATGTGTCCATATATCCGTGAAATTCGTCATTATATTTTGAATGCATGAATCCCGGAAAGACACTATGATGACCCAGAAATTGGAATAATTAATTAATTCGTTCCATTTTCCTCTTCCTCTCACTATTTGTCTGGATACGAGCCATATGACTTTTGTGTGTACATGTGTTAATTATATTGGTACGTGACCAGTGTAGCTGTGACTACCGAATCCTCGACCACCATTCATGACTTCGCCAAAAAAATCTTGTATTATCGTGACTACACTTGAGAATGCGATGGACCACGTTGGTGATGGTTCAGCGCCGAATGTCCCATGAATTACTGCTTCGTACGGATCACCATATGCTGAATTGTAGTATGATTTACGAAGTCTACATTTTATGTATTCATGAATTAGAATGTTTTATTGAAAAAAATATACATATGCAAATATAATGATAGTAAAGTATTTGTTGTTAATTACCCCCAGATGAGAACAATGATGCCCAACTCGAAACCGAGAACAAGTAGCAAAATGAAATTCCAATTTAAACTTTGATAAATTACTTTCAAGAGTTGAAGCAAGAGTTGAAATGGTAGTAGCAATAATGTGAAGATGCTTTTCAATAAGCTAATTTCGTTGTGGAGCTTTCCAATTTCTTTTTGTATCGTCTGAGTTGGTGTTTGTGCATTGTTGTTGTTGTTGGTGTTGTTGTTGGTGGTGGTGGTGGTGGTTGTGAATGAGTTTGTTGTGGGTTGCAGTAATTGATGTGGTAGTGGGGAGACTTGCATTTGCTAATATAATAAATAATTTACATCCATTAGAGAGGTTGATTGACGAAATGAAAACAAACATGAAGTTATGCTAACTTTTTTCATTATTGCGGCACGCCTGAGCATCTCGATCCTTCGTTTGGTTTCTTCTACCTCATTATTTAGTTTTTGCGTTGTTTTTTGTGCAGAACCGTATTTTTTCATCAATTCTTCAAGACTCTACGATAAAATAATGTATGATTGATCATCATTAAAATAATGCACATATTGAAAAATTTATTATCTTTTTTATATACTCACTTCATCTTCCTTTAAAAATTTCTTCTTTTCAGTTTCATTTTCCTTTTCCAATTTTTCCTTTCGTCGTGAATATTGTGACGATGATTTATTATGTTTTCGCTTTTCTTGTTCAGATTGCTCAGAATTTTGTCTTCGTTTTTCTTGTTCAAGCTGTTGAGGATACCAAATGAATAAAGATCACATAGATGAATATATATACACACACACGCACACATATATAATCAAACAAGAAAGAAAGCGTCGGATAAAAATAATATAAAGGATCCGTGCTGATTTGCATGACTTGATAAATACGAAGATGATGTTGAACTAACTTCTCTCACTAAAACTTAAACATAAGTAAATTCTTCAGGTGTCTACCAATTCATTCCTCGTAGCTAAGCGACCATTTTACATTTTTTTGTAATCCTTAAGAAAACAAATAAACCAACAAAGCATGGAATATTTAAATGCACGTTCTCCTTTACACCATCATTCCTTGACCACTCGTTACAACCACATACGCGTGAAGTGAAAACTCCGAAAGTATAAAAGTTGATATTTTCGACTGACACGAGACACGCGCACACACCCCTCGCTCACTAACGAGACGGACAGAGACATACCTGCGGTGGTTGCCTTGTTTGAGGTAACTGATTAAGGATGGCCGGGCGTTGCATTGTGTGTAAATTTGCTGTTGGTGCTTGTGGAATTGTTGGCAGTTGTGTGTTTGTCGTCTTCGTTGTTATTAATGGTTGGTTACTTGTCATTTGATTTGAATAAAAATAATAATAATAGTAATAATAACTATTATTATTATAATAATAATATTATATTAAAAAATAAAAAAATAATAATAAAAATAGTAATAATAATACTAATAAAACTAATTTCGATTTTGATAGAATTAAAATTTTTATAATTTGATTTATTATTTTAATTATATTATTTTATTATCTTTGAATATCTTTAATTTTTTCGCTTTTGTTCTCTTGCTTGCTTCTTTCTCTAGCTGTAGTTTGTGGTAGTAATGCCTCTCTATATCTTTCACAAACACTTACAACAATATCGTTTGGACGGTGTAGGTACGTTGTTGTCGTCCTTAACTATTATGGTTGTGGTTGTTTACTAAACTCTGTACGGTGAGAGGTAAACTGTGCAGCAGTGAGTGATATATTTAAAAAATGTTATAGGCGAGATAAGATACCTTTTTTACACACACACACACATATCATATAACATACACACGTACTGACATAAATAGAAATTACACAAATATACACCAGTAATTAAAAATGTGCTCGGTTTTTGGGGGAAGGTGATTACATTCCACCCTAATCAAAACTCGTCATCGGACAATTATTAAAAAAAATGATTTCATCTTTAAATTAAAAAAAATCGATATAGCCGAAAATGGGATATCGATTTATCATCTGATAGAAAAAAATAATACTACTAACAAACACACACACAAACACACATATAATTAAAATAATACATGTTACTTCATTCCCATGCTAAAATATTCTTTGGAATATTGGATTTTTACTAATAAACGAAATATCTTATTTTAAAAGGGTTTATCCGATTGGATAATAAACTAATATAAAAAATTTGGGGTAGAAAAAACGAAATGAATTGTGTCCTCTTTTGTCCTCATTCTCACCGTCTGAACACAAACACACTGCCCACTCACCGAATACAACAAATAATAATAATAATAATATAAATAACGTACACGCAAAAGGGTACACGGTACGTTACGCTATGTTACAAACACCAACCACCATCACCAAAGTTTTGACATTTCAACACCACTAGTATATATTAGTATGTATCGCTATTCCAGAAATTGACCGCGAAAACATATGTCTCTATATGCACTGATTTATCGTAACACATGATAATAAACGTTTTAATTTCCCTCCTTTCCCTTTGCCTTCCCATCTCCTTCCTTTCCCCTAAAAATATATA